GCTTGCCTTTCAAACCTCTGATAACTAACAGAAGGGGAAGCCTGCTGCAAAGGCACATCTCCCGAAAAGATGAGGGGGGTGGGAGAAAGGCGATCAGTCAGCCAAGAGCCTGGCTGTTTCAGACTTTAAGCCTGCAATACAGGCAACAGAGGGCCAAGTAAAGAAGGCGATCCAAGAAAAGGAAAAAAAAACCTGCTTTCCTTTCCAGCAAAAGTTACTTTTCCAAAACTGCCTTAAATGAAGAAGTGACCTCCCCCACCCTCTAATAATTGACTTTCTCCTGCCTTGTCCAGCCTTCCCTAGCAGGAAGAAATCAGCCCCGACCAGCTTTTGTTCCCCAAAGGCTAAAGTCGATCGCTCGCTTGCCTGATCCAAGGGGCGCACGGGCACCCTGAGACCCACTCCAGGCCAAACTAAGCCACGATTCCCGGTTTGTAGAAAAGATGAGGGGGGCGGAAAGGCGATCAGTCCCCCAAGGGCCCGGCTATTTCAGACTTTAAGCCTGCGATACAGGCAATGGCGTGCGCTTCTCCCAGCCCGGAAGGAGAAACTGGCAGGCGTGCAGGCCAGCAGTCATGGAAATGGGGAAGGGTTAAATGCTGCAAAACAGTGGGGGGGAGGGAGTCAGGCAGGCACATTTCTCCCTCCACACCCACATTCTGTTGGCTTTGCCTGACGCACGTCAGCAAAACAAACGGCCTCGATTCCCACCTGCTGATGCGGGATGAGTCCTCCAGGAGGCAACGTGAGGGTTGTGAGGGTTATCGCAAGCTCGCGGGGGGGGGGGAAGGAAAAGAAGACGGAAGAGAGTGAGGCCTCAACAGAGAGAGAGAGAGAGAAGAGGGAAAAGAAGGAGGGGCGATTGTGATGTTGGCGCTCAGGGCTGTGACACGAGTGTTCTCAAACCCTGCGGTCTCAAACCCTTCTTGCCGAGGGAGTGGACAGTTCTGTCTCCTATCAGGCTAACGCTTGTTGTGAAGTAAGAAGAGAAGGGTGATACGGATCCTGCTGACCTGCGTGCACGAGAAGAAGTCAATCCGGTTGCTTCACAATTAATCCCTGGGGAGGTGCCTTGCTCTGCACCTGTGCTCTTCGTGCGCTCTCCTCCTGCAGGGCACTTTCGGTAGGGTTCATGCAGGCTGCCGCCAAGCAGCATGTTTTTCACAAACAAGCTGAGAAGGAGCAGAGCGGGGGGGAGGAAGGCGATGCCACGTACCACCAGCCAGGTGGTCGTATACCACCAGTGGTACGCGTACCACCTGTTGAAAAGCCCTGATCTAGATCATGGCTAATTCTCTCTGTGTAATGGCTCCATAAGAATACATTTCAGAGATGGAACAAGTAATTTTGCATGTCAAAGATCCTATATAGATCTTTCTGTATTTCCAACATCTACAGCTAAGCATCTAGGCAGAGGTCTCCAAACTTGGCAACTTTTTAGACTTGTGGACTTCAATGTCCATAATTCCCCAGCCAGTTTAAAGTTGCCAAGTTTGGAAAGCCCTGATCTAGGGTAAATGGAACTGTGAAAAAACTTCAGGACAAGATCTTGGAGAGCTGCTAGTAGAAGATAATAATAATAATAATAATAATAATAATAATAATAATAATAATAATAATAATAATAGTAACTGGAGAAGATAACAAAATACAAAGACCTACAAATAGAAATAGAAAGACTGTGGCAAAAGCAAGCAAGTGTAGTACCAATAGTAATAGGCTCCTTAGGTGCAATCCCAAAACAACTGGAGCACCACTTGAACACCATTGGCATTGACAAATTCGCTATTAGTCAATTGCAAAAGACGGCCTTATTAGGAACTGCTTCCATCCTGCGACGATACCTGTAATACCATCAAACATCCACATCTGCCTATCCCAGGTCCTGGGTAAGGACTCGATAGGTAGACAAAATGCCAAATCCAGTCTGAACATCTGGCTGACTGTGCGATGATCCATAATAATAATAATAATGTTGGAAGGGACCTCGGAGGTCATCAAGTCCACCCCCCTGCTCAGGCAGGTAACCCTACACCATTTCGGACAAATGGCTGTCCAGTTTCTTCTTAAAAACTTCCAGGGAGAGGATGGGTGGGTTTATATTGTAATCTGTAAAACTTTTAATAATAATAAAAAAAACTTCCAGTGTTGGAACATTCATCGCTTCTGGAGGCAGGTTGTTCCACTGGTTAATTGCTCTAACTGTCAGGAAGTTTCTCCTTAGTTCTAGGTTGCTTCTCTCCTTGATTAGTTTCATCTGTTGCTTCTGTCCTGCCTTCAGGCGCTTTGGAAAATAGCTTGACTCTTTCTTCTCTGTGGCAGCCCCTGAGATACTGGAACACTGCTATTATGTCCCCCCTCGTCCTTCTCTTCATTAAACTCGACATACCCAATTCCATCAACCTTTCCTTATATGTTTTAACCTCCAGTCCCCTAATCATCTTTGTTGCTCTTCTCTGTGCTCTTTCTAGAGTCTCAACATCTTTTTTACATTGTGGTGATCAAAACTGGATGCAGTATTCCACGTGTGGCCTTACATTGTAGACTGGTATTAATACTTTGCGTGATCTTGATTCTATCCCTCTGTTAATGCAGCCTAGCACTGTATTGGCTTTTTTGGTAGCTGCAGCACACTGCTGGCTCATATTTAAATTATTGGTTTAATATAAGATTTCTTACATATATCTTTTCTCAGTGATTTCCAGCGACTGTTCTGCACATACTGAGATTTTGCTGAATAACCTTCCCAGCTGAAACCGTTCTTCAACTGCAGTGAAGGAGGCTATATTTTAATTCAACAGAATCAGATCACAGAAGGTCTAGGATGCAATAAAACAACACAGCACCTTGTCTGCTTCATTAAAAATACAAAGCATACTATTTATGCAGGTGGAGACCTGGCAAGACCTTGCTTCTCCTCAGTGCAAGCATCCTAAAATTTGACTCCTATGCTGATTATTCTTTTTTTACTGGCATTATTAGTTTACACAGCCCTTAGAGTCCACTGAAATCCAAATTCCCCTCTAAAATGGCCTTGGATATGATGCAGCCCTCCTTGAACCATGAAATAATTCATGCCTTTTCTGTTTCATAGCTGCCTAGATCACAACCAGAACAGATTTCCATGCCTCTCAGGGAAATGGGCAAATTCCTTATCTGTGTATATGGGAGAATATATTTAATAAATCTGGTTCAGATAAGATAAACAGGAAATAGAGTATTGTTGGTTTTCTATCACATGCTCAGCTGTCCATTTTGTATGATTTCTTTTCTCAGAAGCCAGGGTCTATATTATTGATCTAATAACCGTGCACTAAGAAATACTAAACCTTGTTTATGGAACAGATGCTGGTAATTAAAATGCAAGACTTTTTTTTCAATGAACAATTCAGCTTGTTTGATATGAGCCTTTAAGTAAAACAATAGAAATAGAAATGATTTGCAAGACATAATGGAAACTACATTTGTTTTTTTTTAAAACCCTCTTTATATAAGCATGACCTGCAGATAATTCCTTAGTTTACTGTATACATATATCTGGATATCTGCTTTTATGGAATTCCAAAAAGCTACAAAGAAACCCTGAGGTGGATGGGATGGGGTGGGGAGGGGTGAGAACAAATTTAATATGGGAAGTGCAAAACAGTTCCATGTTATTGTAGCAGCATGTGTGAATAAGGCCAAGGAGGGTGATTTCCAGTGGCTATGTGCTTGGAGCAGCTGAAAGCACCCAACAGGAGTTGGACTGCTAACCATGTTGCCATCAACAGTCACCTCTAAGCTATCAAAATCATGTGAAATTGCAAAGTTTGTATGGAGAAGATGGAAATATGCCAATACGGAGTTAATGGCCTTCAACTCGGGACTAGGAATGAGATGGAGGCAGCACATCAGCCCAAGTCCTTAAAGAACAGTTAGCATCTCTGGCCTACAGCCATTAATTAATTAATCACATTTTTATTCTGCCTATCTCACCTAAGAGAGCCAGTTTGGTCTAATGGTTAAGACACCAAGTAGAAAGCAAGAGACCATGAATTCAGTTCCTGCCTCAGCCATGAAAGCCATCTAGGCGATCCTGGGTCAGTAATTCTCTCTCAGCCCAATTTACCTCACAGGGTTGCTGTTGAGGGGAAAGTAGGAGAAGGAAGGTGTGTTGGATATTTTCGCTGCCTTGGGTTATTTATAAAAATAATAAATGTGGGAAACAAACAAACAAATTATAAGGTTGTGTGGGTAAGCCTTTAGAAAAAATCTAAGTGTATCACTTTCTAACTCATAACATTTTTAATTACAACAGGAAGTGTGAAACTGAACTTAAGCCTAATCACACATATTTAAAATTGTGTTTCTAAGCTAACTTGGACCCAGGTTCCTTCTTAGAATACTCAAATTTCCTTATTCAAAAGAATAACTCCACTAGTCCTTTCTTGATATACCAACAACATGGAACATTCACATAGAATTGGGACAAGAAAAAAAAGCAAATGATATTTATATTATTTAAAATCTGCCTGCTTTATAATTCAGTGAACTATCTTTCCACTGTCTGAAAATCTGCAGCAACTTTGGGAAAATTTAGCATATGCATAGAAAAAACTCAGGATAAGATATTGCCTGGCACTGAAGACACAAAATTAGGACAGACAACAGCAAGTGGGGTACAGTAGTTAAAGGACTGTATGTATGCATGTAGTATAGGTTGACTATGAATGCTCAGATATGGTGCTTCTGTACACAAAGAGCTTTAATGTCTACTTATATTATTTACTAAAAAACAATTACCTAGAATTAGATGGTTAGATTTAGATGGATATCTGCTTATAGATTGTAAATATTCTACTGCTGAACTGTTTCATAATAAACTGAAGAATGATTTCATGAAGGGTTTTTAAATATTCTAAATATCACAAAACCTGTACTTTCTAATGTATCTGACACAAGTGTCATTAGCTATTTTATTTTCTCTTAAAAAAAATATCAGGTGGCAAAATGTTGATTACCTTTATCAAGAGATGCTCCAGCCATGTGGTAGAAACTTAAAGCTGTATCAACATCATTTATGTTTTTCAGGAACGTAAAGAAGTTCTCTACTTCCTCAAATGTTAGTCCCTGCAGTGAAGATGAAAAAACAACACATTTAAAGGGGAAAAAATGAGTAGAAAACAAGGATGCTGTCAATGTGTAAATTCACATGGACTATTTTATACTTGCAAGCCATTTGTGACTTAGCATCTTCTGGTATATGAATCCCACCTATTTCTCTGGGCTAATCACCATCATTAGCATAATAATCATAATCAGCTTCACTTTAGCTCAAATGTCAGCTACTTTTCCCAATCCATCAGATCAATTCCAATGCGCTCTTGTTTTTAGCAATAGAGGAAATGAAGAGTTTATTTCTCTAGAAAACTGAAATATTTCGCTGTCAACTTATTGCATGTCAAAGTATTTACAGATTGAACTATAAACTAGCATGTTTCTTACCTGCTGTTCCTAATTTCTAAACTACGATTGGATGCTTATATACTTATTGATTTTATATTTCATATTTCTTAACTACCCATCTCTCCAGGGTTAGATATCTTTTCTACTTATTTTCTATAGGAATAGAAGAGCAATTTATTTTATCGTATTCTGTTTTGTAAATATTTTTACATCAACTAATGGCACTTGCATATTTAAGCTTTCATGAAGTTATTTACTACAGTAGAATCCCTACTGAAACATCATTTGCCAGAAGTGCTTATTCTAGGAAGAAAATTTACAAAAATGTGCATTTTTAATGTAAAGGATGCCTGCCACCTGCCTTAGGAAAAGAATGGTGGCCAAAATAGGTGCTTTTAAAATAGGAGTATCTGAAAATGAAAATGACAAATTGAAAATAGGCAAAAAATAATGAAAAACAAATTAGTAAGCCAAACTGAAGTAACATTTTAATGACTGAATTGATTGTGCTGATAGAATAGAAAAAAAAATTCCCAGTTTGTAATCAATTTGCCTTATATAACTATATTGCAGTATGTTGTTTGCAAGATTAAATTATGCTAAAAGTGGAATAGGCAGGTTTAACACAAAACTCATTTGCTACACACATTCTTCTGAAACAGTTGAGTGGTAAGAAATACTTTTTTTTCCCAAGAAGAAAAAAAATCCAGGCAAAAGCAGGAATAATTAAGTCTGAATTTGAGCAAGCAGGTTCTATAGTAGATGACTTATCAATTTAATTAGTTTCAACAAGGAAGTTGTAAAAGGCTTGCTCTAAAATTTGCTTCTCTTGAACCCTTTCTATTAAATCCATTTAAATAAACCTTATGTTTTAACAATTGCAAACCAAGCAAGCTTCCAGTATGGAACTATGACTTGTATTCATTGTCTCGGACATTATGCAATTTACAAGTCTCCTTGTCCACTTGCAAATATTCAATTAACTTTCCCTCACTTGGTGAAAATGAGCAGTTGTGTGATGTTATGAAGATTAATAGCTAGTAAGCATGTCAGCTATGGAATGCCAATTAGAAAAAGAGGCCACACTATTTTGCTTTTTCATATGGGAATTCTGTTTCTCCTAGTCAGTGTTCCAAATGACAAGCATAGCAACTGTCTGATTAAGATATTCAAAATTCTAAATAATTATTTTATTTGTCCAGTGGTTAGTGAAGATCTAGGATGGAGATGAGTCAAGATATATTTGAATCAGTGTCCTGGAGACCTTGACTCACAGAGACAAATGAAAAATATGTGTCAAGTCTGGGCTTTTAGAGGAGGCAGGATAAAACCTGTGCTTGAAGAGACAGAAACAGTGCTTAGTTTTTAAAGAACAGATAGTGAATTGTAGAGCAGGGATTTTAACAGGGGACTACAAGATGAGAGCAAAAACACTGAATTTTCTTTCCAATCTTGATTTAAAGAAAATCACATTTTCTTGACAGCAATTAATTTTAGGGGGAAAAATGCCTAGTAATTTGTATGAAAATTGGAATTCCTCAATGACCAGGCGGAGCCTGAGAGCAGGGTCAAATGCATCATCAGTTTAGGTGCTACATTCCCATAAGAGACCTAAATGTGACTCCCCTTGAATTCTGCTAATTCTTATTTAGTGCCAATTTGTCTTGACTGTTAGTAGATCAGATTCTTGTGTATAGGTAGCATTTAATAGACTTGAAGTGCTTTGAACTAAACTCCTGTTCCTAGTTACTTGAGCCTGACAATTAATTTGAAAAACCAAAGCAACGCTACATGTAATTATTAAGGTAAAATTAGGTTTGGCCTAATTATCTAAACAGTGTCTTAACTTTGGAAACTTTAAGATGCGGAGAATTATGGAAGTTGAAATCCACACATCTTAAAGCTCCAAAAGTTGACAAACACTAATCTAAACAATTGGGAGACAGTTTAGTAGGGTTGGCTCATGTTCTTTGCAAGCTACTAAATAGTCAAGCTTTGGATTGTAACACTGATATCCCAAAATATAGATTAGCAGGGGGAAAAGAGGCAAAACAAAGCAAAAAAATAGCACTTTGTAATCAAATTTGGGATAAGATAGTAAAGTATCATTTAAGGAGAAATATGGTTATACAAAGAGAGGGGGGATTTTTTGATAAAAACAAGCAGAGAAAATACAACAATTTCAATAAGTTTTAGGTATCTGGATTAACTGGTGTAAAGGAATTTAGGAATGATCCTGGATTGAAACCACTGCTAAGGGGAAAGAAAAGAACATGCCTTTAAGGAGAAACTTGGAGAAGCGATGTCACAGTCCAATATTTGAAGGAAGTGTGAGAAAGAACTTCAAGATAATCCCACCTTGATTTTGTTTGATATAAGATGAAACAGAGAGAAACTCAGACTGGCTTGCAAGACTGTTGTCAGCCCTTCAAGGTAGGCTGATTCAAGAAAAAGATACCTTAGGAATTTCAGGAATGCTACTTTATTGTTGCATCATCAACAACTATCCAATGACTTAGTGCAGACATATCAAACTGCCGGCCCACAGGCTGGATGTGTCATGCCGAAACCGTACCTACCCCATTGCCGGCAATGGGGAAAAAGTCCCAATATGTCGTGCAACGTCATGTGACGTCAAGAGTTTGATATGCCTTAGTGTATTTCTTCCTTCTCCTTTAATGGTTCTTTCATATCTTCCTCAAGGCTATCTCTAAACTCCTTTACAACCAGAACAGAAATTTAACAGCAATGATCACTTCCAGGTATTAGCTGATAATAAATGAATTCACACTATCTTCACAGCTAAAGCACACAGAGCATGTCAATGCTAAAAATGACTTACATAGGTTGCTCAAGAGAAGATCATCTTTCTTACAAACTATTAATAAAACACAGTTAACAGGAAACTACTAGAAATCAGAGAATCGCTTTTAATGGCATTATGAAGTTAAATTGACTTTCTGAAGAACTGATTTTTCTGAACATTCGAGTTGTCCAGCCATGATTTAAAAGAAGCCATTTTTGCCCTGAATATTTCATTGCAAAACTATCCAGGCTAAGAGAGATTGGAAGAAAGGATATATTGCAGTCATTCTAAGTGTTTACTAGCTTGATCCGATAATCCTGAAACCGCCTGATAGCAGTCCAGCAAATGCAGTTTGTGCTGGCAGTCATTTTGATAACTGGAGCTATAGGCCAAGATATCATTTTTTAAAAAAACCTGTGGTTAAATTGGAAGGAATCTGATTTTTGCTTTTTCCTGTTATACATGTAATTTTGGCATGCTTGCCTGTCAAATATATATATATCGTTTCTTGCAAATATATACTTCCAAGCACACTGTGATTAGATAACATGGAGGTTAACCTACAGAGTTAATGTGTCTCTGGCTGTAGGAAGGAATTGCTTTGGGTGGTTTTCAAGCAGATTCTTCAGGGATTTTTCAATGAGATTTTCAAAAAAGATGGTGGTCACAACATGCTGCTTAATAGTCTGTTCTTACAGGGGAAAGTTATACAAAATCAGAATGTTTTCAATAGTGGGAGAGTCAATTAAAAACTGAGAAATATCAGAAATTCAGACTCAGCGATATGTAGAGATTTCTTGGTAGAAACTCAGGGTACCATGTGTACACATCAACTACCAGTAGTGCTTGACTTACAGCCATTCATTTAGTGATAGTTCAAAATTACAACGGCACTGAAAAAAGTGACTTATTTTTCACACTTAGGACCATTGTAGCATCCCCATGGTCATGTAATCAAAATTCAGATGCTTGGCCACCGGCGTGTATTTATGATGGTTGCAGGTCCCTGGGTCATGTGATCACCTTTTGTGGCTTCTCATAAGTAAAGTCAATGGGGAAGCAGATTCACTTAACAACTGTGTTTCTAACTGAACAACTGTAATTATTACGTTAACAACTATGGCAAGAAAGGTCATAAAATGGGGCAAAATTCTTCTAGTCCAACTACCTGCAGGAAACCCTATACCATTTCAGAGAGATGGTTGTCCAATCTCTTAAAACCTCCAATGATGGAACACTCACAACGTCTGGAGGCAAGTTGTTCCACTGATTCTGTTCTAATTGTTGGGAACTTTTACGACGCACACAATTATTTTTAGTAAACTTTTCCAGCCCCTTTCCATCATATTGCTCCAAAAGGTTACTAACCTCTCCATCCTGGAAATGCTTTTTGAGTTGCTTTAGCATCACAGTCAATTTTTTGGATTGTACTCCACTATAAGCCAGCAGCATGCTGCCAAACTGACGTTCTGTGATTCGACCATTTACAGGGTCATGCCTTTCAAACTGGAAGACAAAAGGGGAAGGAGAGAAATAACCTAGAACTGCATGGATTCACCTGCTCATATCATATCAATACTGTTTATTCAAATGTTCTCTTCCATGTGGAATCAGCACTTTAACAGAAATAGCAAGAAGCAGATGAAAACATCAGAAAAGGAATGCTAATTGCATTAAACATGCTCAACACTCCTATATTTTTAATTACAACAATAGTATATATTTAATATATATATATAAATATAAATATATATATATATATAAAAAAGTTGTATTAATACTTCAGGAATGTAATTATTATCTTGTATATTTAGAAATTATAAAAGAAGCACCAAAGTGAGCATTACTATTTCTTCTGAGGTATGAATCATCTTAAAATTCTTAGTAAAATACTGCAAGATAAAAATTTGTTAGAGACACACTCTTTCTTACACTAACAAAATATTAATGTATTAAAATATAAACATTGGTAATATATTCGTGATAAATACTTTAGCTGTCTTGGGATTTTTATCCCATGCAACCTCTTACAGATAACCACTCTAAAATGAGTATAATATAACAGGAGGTGTTTTTGGATTTGAATAGATGGCAGACTTTAAATCTTAAATATTTGGGCAAGGTTAATATTCATAAAATGAATGTTTCTCTAGAATATTGTATTTTATTATATTTTACATGGAATTTCTACACATGCACTCACAAAATATTTATAGAAATGTATCACAATATGTTGTAAATTTGGGGGGGGGGAGTGCATTTCTTTCTTCTTCTTTTTATTAAAAAGTTTTTATTTTCCATTTATTCATACAAAATACAATTAAATTCCTAACCATTGGTACCACCTGCCCATTCCCCCCAGGCTGCGTCCACCCTGTCTAATCCTTCCCCATGTCCCTCCTCTTTCTCTCCTCCCCTCCTACTCTCTTCCCCTCCCCTTCAACATTTCTTAACGTCTACAATTTATCTTCATTAACATTTCAATACATTAGTCCTAAAGATAAGATGGAACTTTAAAGGTTTTCATGATTTCTTTCTCACTTCATTCAAAGACAGGAAAACTTTGAAGCAATTAAAAAGGTTTCTCCAATTTTTTAAGTAATTTAAATGAAAAAATTAAATCTAGTAAATGTTCTTTAATAACATCCCCGTTGGCTCAATTTAATCTTGATTGGTCTTCAATTAATCATTGACATTCATAAAGATTTTCTCCTTTCAAGGAATAAAAACTGCTGGTGAAAATACATGATACAGAAATAAACATGATGTTAATGTGATAACCTGCTCTTCAGATGTTTGCCTTCACACTGTTGGGAGGAACTCCCCCATTCGGTTCTTCCAGCCGGGATTCTTCTTGACGGCGCAGTGCAGAAGAAATAGATCGTGAAGCCAGCTACCAGAAAGAGGTTTTATTTCGAGGATCAGCGTTGAGTGACAATTCAGCTCGAGTCCCCGGCTAGCTAGACAGAGTGATCTTTAAATAGGGGTTTTTATACCCTTTTGTGGTTTCCAAACTTGTCATTTCTGATTGGTAACAAACTTTATCATTTCTGATTGGTAACAAACTTATCATTTCTAATTGGTGAGTTTGAATTTGCCTTTTCTGATTTGTTGGTCAGTGACTATTGTTGGTTAAATTTCTTTGCTAATCCTGCCTGAAAGGTGTTAATTACTTTATTGTTGTGTCCTGATTGTTGCTAGCTGGTTCCTCATTGTGTGTCAAGTGTTTGCCATTTAGCCTCAGGCTGCTGTTGACCCAATTTAGTTGGGGTGTTCCTAGATTATTTCTTGGTTGGGCTGGGGAGGGGGTGTCCAACTCTCATCAATCCCCCCATTTTGGGCTATCACTGGAGTATCAGTGATTAGCCCAACTGGTTCATATATACGGTAGTGGTGATCAATTTGGCACATCATGAGAGATGTTTTCTTGCTTTGTCCCTTGCTCCTGATGGGAGTTGTGCAGATCTTTAGGCATTTTAACCCTAAAGGAATTAATTGGCATAGGCAACGAAGGAGGGCTCCACCTATTATGACTGTGATTATACTACCAATAAGAATTTTCAACCAATGGAAGTCTGGTAACCATGAAAAGAGCCAGGAAAGGTCCCAGGATGACTGGTTGTGCCCAATGTTTTGTGCTAGTTCTTTTAAATGTTTGATATCTTGTTCAATTAGCCCAGATTGGTCGGATAAATTGAAGCAGCAGAGCCCTCTGAATTCTTCACAGCCATGATTGTGCCTCAATAATAGGTAGTCAATGGCTGCTCTATTTTCAAGGGTGGCTTCTCTGATTTGCCTTAGTTCTCTGTTTAAGGCGTCCAGTGCATGGGAAGTGGTGTTTAAACTTTTAGCTAGGGTACATGCCAGGCTGTTTATATTCCTTGAGTTTCGTGCTGCGAGCCCTGGCACTCCCACTAGAGAGACAGCCAATGCAATATATTCAGTTTTCGTGAGAAGGGGGGTTTTGAAATCGCAGTCAGGAGGTAATGTGTGGAAGCTCCTTCTTTGCCGCCTTTGTAGGGAGGGCATCAGCATGGTTAGTTGTCCTAACGTGCAAGGGCCCCCAGTGGAATTTGCAGGCAGGTAGGAATAAGCTCTCAGGCCACATAATAGAAACCATCCTGTAGGAAGTTTCACATAGCCATATGAGAAGGTGATGGCCTTGGTGTTGTTGCAGACCAGTTCAGTGTTTGTGAGGTTGTAGCAGTTGGAGACTTTAGGCTGGTGGCATCCAGTCAGTGTGAAACAAGTAGCTGCTTGGGTTACTGCTGCTACTTGTAATGTGTACATGCTGTTGTCCTTTATGTTTGTACTGGTTCCCCAGTCAAAAATGTTATAGTATGAGGCTATCAATGAGTGTCCCCTTAACTTAGTGTCATTGGTGATAGCTTTTGGTGCTATTGCTACCCCCATCAAGCATGTGGTTAAGATGTCTTTCACTGACCTACCTCCAGCAAGGCAAAAGTCTGTAGTGTTCAGTACTTCCTTCGCTAAATACTCCCACACGTTCCCCTTTTCCGGAAATAGTTTTGGTTCTATGAACCCAGAGGTACATTTCAAATATAAAAACATCATACAAGTTGCATATAAGATTCTAACAAAGGTAAACTTAATTCCCTCCCCCATTTGTTTCAATCTCAAAAAACGTTTTTAGTGTCCATTCTTCAGTTTCGGGGTTTTTCTTGAGCTTCAGGGGTGGAACCTTGGGTGTTGTCTCAGGTGTAATGCTGTGGTCTATGACTGCTGGCTTGATGTGGGTCCAGTGGATCCAAGCATTCCTTTCAGCCACCTTGATTGCTGTCTGGGTGGTTAGTAGAACTTGAAAGGGTCCATTCCACTTTGGTTGCAGTGGTGACTTGCGGCTGTATGACTTTATCCAAATCCAATCCCCTGGTTCAAAATGGTGTAGATTTTCTTCTAGTGGTAAAGTCTGCGTCAGGGCGCTTTGCTTCCACAGTTCTCTGAGCCTCTGGTGCAGAGCTGTAAGATAGGATGATAAGACTACCTCCCCTTTCTCCAAGCAGAGGGACTGGGGGTCCAGGCCTTTGAGTGTGTCAGGTGGTCGACCAAATAGCAGTTCGAAGGGGGAGATGCCTATGTTTCGCCTTGGTCGGGTTCTCAGATGGAACAAAGCTATGGGTAATGCTTGGGGCCAGGGCAGGTGGGTTTCCTGACAGAGTTTGCCTAGGAGAGTCTTTAATTCTCTATTTTGTCTTTCCACCCCCCCTGAGGAGCTGGGATGTCCGGGTGCATGCAGTTCTTGCCTGATACCCAATGCTTGGAGAACATGCGTGATTACTTGTGACACAAAGTGTGTGCCCCTGTCCATGTCTAAAACACTTGGGATTCCAAACCTGGGCACAAGTTCCTTTAGCAGGTGTCTGGCAGTTTCCAGAGCTGTGGCATGGCGGCATGGGTAAGCCTCCACCCAGTGAGTCAGCTGGTCCCTGCAGACTAGCACGTATTGGTAGCCGTTACTTTTAGGGAGCTGAATGTAATCCAGCTGGAGTTTCTCAAAGGGGCGTTGGGCCCATGGTCTTCCCCCTGTGTGTGTGGCCTTTCTTGAGGAAGCATTATTTGCTTGGCATACCTGACAGGTTTTAGCTATACGAGTGGCCTCACTATAGACTCCTGGGGCATACCACACCCTCCTTATGGCATCTACTATTGCCTGTGTCCCACAGTGCCCCTTAGAGTGTAACTGTTGACAGATCAGCCGTAGCAGACGTCTGGGGGCTATGGGTCTTCCATCCGGGACCCACCAAAATCCTTCCTTATATATTGCCTCGCATTTTTCCTCCCATAATTTCTCTTCCCCAGGTTCTAGCAATTCTTGGTATTGTGTTACTGGTCTTAATTGTAACGTGGGGAGCATGGTGAATGCCTTCAGGGGTTGAGTGGCAGCCCACTTAGCCGTGACGTCAGCAAAGTGGTTCCCTTTCGTGATCCTTGAATCGTCCCTTTGGTGTGCTTTGCAATGGATGACTGCTAGGAATGAGGGTAGACGGATAGCTTTCAACAGATCAGATATGAGGTCCGCGTGAGCAATTGGCTGGCCGCTGGACGTAAAAAACCCTCTCTGTTTCCAAAGGGCACCGGTCGCATGGCAGACTCCAAAAGCATACCTGGAGTCTGTATATATATTGGCAGACTGGTTCTCGGCTATTTCGCATGCCTTTTTTAATGCAATGAGTTCAGCTGCTTGAGCGCCGTAATGTGGAGGCAAGGGGGAAGCCCAGACTGACTCATGCAGAGAAACGACTGCTGCTCCCGTTATGCGGGTCCCATCCAGAAGGTAGGAAGAGCCATCGGTAAATAACTCTAGGTCTGGGTTGGGGAGAGGATTATCTGTTAAATCAGGACGTGGCAGTTCAGCATCCTGGACTAGGTGCAGGCAGTCATGTAATGCTTTATCTGTTAGGTTAGTTGGTAACAATGTTGCTGGGTTTAGCGTGTTGCAGCGTTCAAAGGAAATATTTTCCGAAGTGAATAGTTCTGCTTCGTAT